ACGACGACGAACACCACGACGACGACGACGATGACGACGACCACGACCGCGGACAACGACGAGATTACGACGACCACGACCGCGGACAACGACGACGACGACGACGACGACGACGACGACGACGACGACGACGACGACGACGACGACGACGGCGGCAGCAGCGACGACGACGGCAGCAGCGACGACGACGACAACGACGTCGACGGCAGCAGCGACGACGACGACGGCGACGATGCTGGCCGGGCCTTGGACCTATCACCCACGGAGCTGGCCAGGGCCGCACCGCGATCCCGGGCCGGCGGGGAAAGGATCCCAGACTCAGCTCCCAGGTCCTCCTCCTCCACCTCGTCCTCCTCCTCCTCCTCATCCTCCTCTTCTTCTTCTTCTGATGATGATGATGATGATGATGATGATGCTGACGATGATGATGCTGATGAGGATGATGATCATGCTGATGATGATGGTGATACTGGTGGTGATAATGATGATGTTGGTGGTGGTTATGATGACCATGATGATGCTAATGATGATGCTGCTGATGATGATGCTGATGCTGATGATGACGATGATGACGATGATGGTAATGGTGATGGTGATGGTGATGATGATGCTGCTGATGCTGCTGATGCTGTTGATGATGATGATGATGGTGGTGATGATGATGATGCTGATGCTGATGCTGATGGTGATGGTGATGGTGATGGTGATGGTGATGGTGATGGTGATGATGATGATGATGATGATGATGATGATGATGATGATGATGATGATGATGATGATAATGATGATGATGATGATGATGATGATGATGATGCGAATCGCGTGACGGATCCACGTTGCCGAGGAGAAGGTCCTCCCCGCGCAGCTCGCAGGCCCCCGGGGTGGCGGAGGGGATCTCGGAGGACACGGGCCGACCCCGCTGGCGGCGACCCTCGCAGCGCTGGGCGTGACGGCGACGGGGTCCTGAAGGGCCACGGGCCCTGGACCCCGGGGCCCCTCCCCCCGAAGACCAGCGCTGGGGGGCCTGGAAATGGGCACCAGCAACAGCACAGGGAGGGTGTGCCTCCACAGGGGAAAGACGATCCTAGACTTCGGTGTGTCGGTGGCAATAGTTCGGTCACCTTGGAAGCCAGAGTGTAATAACCACCATCGCCGAGATCGGGATCGTCTTCCCTCGGTGGAGGCACACCGCCGATCTTGGTGTTGGTGTCAACCTCTAGGCGTGCGACAGCGTCTTCCTCCCGAGCCGGTCTGGGATGGCCCTGGGGGTGGGTCTTCGAGAGCCCGACAGGCTAGCGAAAAGCCACCTCTGCCGACAGGACGCTGTCAGTCCGCGGCCCCGATGCGCCCCGACCGCTGGCCCTGGGGAAGCGTTTCGTCACGGATCCGCCCGGGGTTCCGACAACCAGCCCCGGAGGCCGAAATCGGCGAACAAACACCAGGATTGGAAAAAACACACCGTCGGAGGGCTGGGCTCCTTCACGGCGGTCACGCACACCCATTCACGATGATCCAAAACGACACCCGCACCCCCGACGGCGGCACCCGCGGGCACCCCTGGCAGGCGGGCTGTCGGGACTGGGTGGGGGTGAGACTTCGGCGGCCCTTCAGGCTGGCGCTCGAGCGCAGGCCGCTCCCCCCAAATGCCCACGCCCAATCGCCGCACTCGCTGCGCAAGACTGCTTAAATCACCGCGGTGGTTGCTAAGTGGATACGGGTTCACAAGTGGATACCAAGGTGGTTTACAGATGGTCTAACCCAGCTGATAAGTGGTTACAAGTGCCCTGAGTGGCCTAGCGGGGGTATGGATCCGGGCTAAGGTGGCTCCGCCCACTTTGCGGAATTGTCGAAGCCACCCAAGCCACTTAGAGCACATGTACGTCATTCATGAGCTAGGTCGGGCCTGATTTGATCCACCTCGGCATCCGATTGGAAGCCCCGACCCGTACAGCCATCACCGCGGTGATTCAAGTGCCCCACCCCCGCTGTGGCCAGGGGGGCCATCCTGGGCTATACTCGGGGGCGGCCAAGAGGGGGCGTCCAAAAGTGGGAGGGGGCGCGAATCATAGCCTGCGGCACGTGCGCGGCCTCGAGGGGAGTCAGGGACGCGATGAAATGAGAAGGGGCGCCATGACATCTGAGGAGATATCATGACCCACGCCATGAGATCCACCCCCCCCTAGTCATCACCCCCATCCCAGACCCCCGACATCATGATTCTTTCATGGCGCGGCCCCCAGAGGTCTGGACCTATTCGCCAGGACCGGCTCTTCATCCTGAGTCGTTGACGGTCCCGAGGCCCGGTGAGGGCCCCCAGAGGCCGAAAATAGCGAAAAACCTCCCGTCGCGATTTTTCATGACTCGAGGGGGTCTGGGCTCTCTGCCGCCTCCGATGTACGACTTTCGTCGACGAGCCCGGGGCGCCGCTGGCCGCCCGCTCCGCGGGCGCGCCCGCGCCCGCCGGGGCGGGGAGCAGCGCGCGCAGCAGGCGCAGCTCCTCTGCCGCAGCGGCCCCCTCTCCGGAGGCTGGAGGTCAGCGAGGGAGCGTCGTCGGTCTTCGAAATTTGGTCGGCGACTGTCGGCGGTCTTCGGAGGTACTCGGCTTTGTCCTTGTCGAAACGGTGCGGAGGTTTGTCCTGCGCACGGTGCTCGGCCACCGTCCCAGGGGAGATGAAGTGCCTCTTCACTTGCCACTTCTCCGACCTTCTCCTGGGCGTAGCTCTCTTCCCGTGGGAGTTGGGCGTGGGTTCCTGGAAGCGGGTGTGTATTTCCAAGCACTGCTTGCACTTAGAGTTTCTCACGTGCGCTTCAAAAGGAATCGGATGGGTGTCCCTAAGATTCGCCACGCTCTGGCTTGTTGCCGCCTCGTTGCCGCCCTGTGGGGGTGTCCTTGGGATTCGCCACGTTCTGACCCGTTGCCGCCCGTCGCCAGCCGTTGCCGCCTGTGGCGGTGTGCCGAGGGTGCGGGCTTGCTCTTCGAAACACGACCGCAGAGACGCCCGTGCATCGCATGCCTTCCACATCCACGGTGCCAGACCTTACTGATTGGAGTCCACGCCGGCAAGCAGCCATTGCTGCCTTGTCACATCATGCTTGCTTTGCCTCGGAATTCAACCATCGCCTGCGGTCTCGTCTTCTCCGTGTGCGGGCAAGCTGAGGGACATGAGCGCTCGGCGCAAGCTGATCCTAAGTCAGGAATGGCCGCCGTTTCGTTCTTCAACTCGGAGTGGAATTATGGTGGCAGTTTCGCTCATTTGTCGCTGTGTGCCTCTGGAGTGAATCTCAACATGCCAAGTCACAAGTATGTCAATGTGTGCGGATCTGGCGGTGATCAGCTGCGGTTGCAATTGCGCAGGTCAGCATGGAACGTGAGTTCCGTGGGCTGCATCCTCTCGATCTCCTTTGGCTTGCTCGCACTCGGCAGGAAATTCAGAGGGCGGCTTGAACTTCGTATCGCCACGCGATGGCAGAATCCCTAGAATACCTTCCTCCCTTCGCCGTCGTCGCCGCTGCCGCCAGCGTCGCCGTCGTCGCCGAGGTGATCGCCGTCGCAGCCGTCGCCGAAGCTCCTCGGTGATTGGTCCGGGAGTCGGCGGCATGGCCGCGGAGAGAGCGATTGGGGGCAAGCGCGACCCCTGAAATGGCTGGCAGGCGGAGCTCCTCCTCCGCGACGCCGTCGAAGGTTCGCCGCTGCCGCCGTCGTCGTCGCCGATGCCGCTGCCGTCGCTGGTGCTGTCGTGGTCGTGATCGTCGTCGCCGCCGCCGCCGCGACCGTCATCGTCGTCGCATCAGGCGCCGTCTTCGTCGTCACCGTCGATGCTGCTGTCATCATCATCATCGTCGTCGTCGTCACCGTCGGTGCCGTTGTCGTCGTCGTCGTCGTCACCGTCGCCGTCGTCCTCGAGGAAAGGGTTGGAGCGGCGAGGCAACAAGCCAGCCGGCGCGAGGAAATGAACCTGGCGCGACCCCAATTGGGGGAAAGCTTCCTAATGCATGGGCGTAGTGCTTGGCATTGCTTAGCATTGCTTGGTATTGCTTGGCACTGCTTGCCAGTGCTTGGCATTGCTTGGCATTGCTTGGCTGGGGGTGGGGACGACGGGGAACCCAGGGAACCCGAGGAACCCAAGGACCCGGGGAACTCGGGGAACCCGAGGAACCCTGGGAACCCTGGGAACCCGGAGAAGCCGAGGAACTCGGGGAACCCGAGGAACCTCCGGGCCACGGGCTGCGTAACAATAAGAGGCACTGGGAGCGGGGAAACTGGGGAACCCGAGGAACCTCCGGGCAACACTAGGAGGCACCGCGGGCGGGGAACCCGAGGAACCCGAGGAACCTCCGAGCAACGGGCAGAGGAACAATGGGAGGCACCAACCTTTAACCAAGTAAGAACCCCTTGGGCAAGCCACGTTGGGGAAAAAGATGAGCTGGTTACCTGGCGAATCGTTATATGAATGAGGGCCGCAGCTGGTCCAAAACGCTCCCGTGGCCATTCCAAAGCGTCTGAATAGGTCAGCGCAACGTCACAATGTTCAAACGGCGGCGCTCGCACAGGGTCGTGTTCCGCAGGTTTTCCACTCTCGAGCTAGGGTACCATGGCAGTGCTGTAGCATACGCAATGGCCGACACAAATATGTCTGCGACCGTGTCGCCCTTCACAGCGGAGCCGCAGGCCGACGCGGAGGGTGGGAAGCGCGGGGGGCGCGCCGTGCGTTGCCAGAGATCCGACGTATGTCTTGTGTTCAACGTGAATTTCCAGAGATCCTAGAGATCCCACCAAGCGAATCCTTTTTCTTGTTGCAATCCGACACCAGAGATTCCCCAAGACCTTTCCCTCCGGACCTTCTCGTTTTTGTTCCGAGGACTCCCTGGGTAAAGCCCTAGGCTTCTCCCAGGGCCGGTGTTGTCTATCCTGACGTGTTGCTCGCGGCCCCTGGGCCCGGCGAGGGTCCCGATGACGGCCGAGCACGACGTAAAAACTTCCGTGCGGTCGTTCAGTGATGCTCCCATCGACAACAGCCAGGAGGGGCAGAGCGAGAAAGTCGCGGCCCCTCGAGGAGGCCATGCGCGCCGCTCGGCCCATGGACCAGCGAGCCCCGCGAGACGCCGGGAGACCGCGGAGGTCGCCTCGCGAGCGGAAGAGCGCAGGGGCAGTCGAAGCGGTCGCAGCTGGGGCCAGGCAGGGTGCGACGCAAAATGCGTCGGGGGCCTGATGCCCGCTCAGGGGGCGAAGAGCGGTGCAGCACAAACTGCTCCGCCGTCGGGGACGCCCGCACCCCCGGGCGGCTGGACAGCTGATACCCCTACGTGGCACCGCAGCCTGGATATAGGAAAGGGGTGCAACATGAAGAGGTATGGTGCCAACGTTGAGTCTGGCGATGCCATCTAGCGTAGACAGCATCTCGATTTCCAAGCTTGGAACCACACCCCTTTATGCCATACACCTTTCCGACCTCCAGACGTGGGGGGTATAAACTTGCCAGCGGTCCTGGGCGGGGCAGGCGTCTCCAATGGCTAGAGAAAGCTTATGTGATACCCTTCTTCGCCCCCCGACCTTAGGCCGGGCATGTCCTCCCACGGGCGGAGAGCCTGGAAGAGAAGTGAAGCATAGCCCAACAAAGGATCAGACATAGCCCACAGGGAGCACGAAGCAGCGCCCCCAGACTGTTGCTCCACAGTTGCTGAAGATTCCTCCTGTAGAAGGGGCATGCCCGACTGAACCTCGGGTCGGGCCTGCCCCCCCTAGAGGCGGATTCTGGACGAAAAACAAAAGGTCGTCAGACATATTCCAAAGCAGCCAGAAAGAATACTTACACATCGTCCCCAGACTATCCTCTGACTGCTTTTGAGTCTTCCTTTCCTGTCGAGGGACAGGCCCGACTTAGGCTCGACCTCCGCCCGCGGCCCTTTCTCGTCGCCAGCGGCTCGCGCGGCCGCGGCGGCGGCGGCGCCCCGAGGCGCGCAGGAGGGCGGGGCGCGGCCTGCCTTTGCCCAGCCCGGGCAGCGCCGCGGGGGGGTCGCCACCCAGAGGAGGCGCCGTCTCCTCGAAGGAGAGCGGCGCCCCGCCCCCCCCCCCCCGCCCCGGCCCCGCTGGACCTCCCCAAGGGGCCCACCTCTGGACTCCCAGAGAGAGCGGGCGTCCACCCTCCCTCCTCCTGCTCCACCCTCCTCATCCTCGCTCCTCGATCCTCGAGCCCTCCTCCACCTCCTCCTCCTCCTCCTCCTCCTCCTCCTCCTCCTCCTGCTCCTGCTCCTGCTCCTCCTCCTCCTGCATCTCCTCCTCCTCCTCCTCATCATCACCATCATCATCAGCAGCAGCAGCATCATCATCACCATCACCAGCATCATCATCAGCATCATCATCATCAGCATCATCATCAGCAGCAGCATCATCAGCCGCATCATCATAATCCTCATCAGCAGCAGCATCATCAGCAGCATCAACTTCATCAGCATCAGCATAAGCATCAGCATCATCATCAGCAGCATCAGCATCATCATGATCATTAGCATCATCATCAGCATCAGCATAAGCATCAGCATCAGCACCATCATCGCCCTCCTCCTCCTCCTGCTCCTCCTCCACCTCCTCCTGCTCCTCGTCCTCCTCCTCCTGCTCCTCCTCCTCCTGCTCCTCCACCGCCTCCTTCTCCATCTCCTTCTCCTCCCCCTCCATTTCCTAGAGGAGGTGGTGACCCCATCGGTGTCGCGTGTGCCGAAGAGGGCCAGGCAGAGGGGTGGGTGCGCATCATGACCCAGTACATGCGCGGCGAAGACGAGGAGAGGGCCAGAGGACGTGCCGAATGAAGAAGAGGGGGCCATGAGACCTTGGAGACATCATGGCCCCGGCCATGAATGTGTTGGACGGGCCCCCGCCCTCGCTGGTGGTAACCCCGCCCCCCTTGATACTACCCGAAAATCGGGGCGCACACTCGAGGCGAGACCCGGGCGCCGGCGGGGGCGGCAGGTCTAGCCAGACGGGAACGCCTGGAGCCAGGTCCAACTCCTCCTCCTCCTCCTCCACCTCCTCCTCCCCTTCCTCCTCAACCTCCCCCTCCTCCTACACCTCCTCCTCCTCCTCCACCTCCTCCTCCTCCCCTTCCTCCTCAACCTCCCCTTCCTCCTCCACCTCCTCCCCCTCCGCCTCCTCCTCCTCCTCATCCTCCTCGTCCTCCTCCTCCTCCTCCTCCTCCTCCTCCTCCTCCGCCCTCCTACTCCTCCTGCTCCTCCTCCTCCTCATTCTCCACCTCCACCTCCTCCTCCTCCTCCCTTCTACTAAACCTCCTCGTCCAGACCGTGCCGGCAAAATGGCTGCGCTTGATCCACCCTGGAAGGGGCCCTCCACTGGCCCGAGTGGTGATGCTGAGGCCCTTTGCCTCCCCTGTGATGCCCCTAGGGATGAGAACCCTTGTGGGCCTCTCGGCGGACATCGTAGCCCCGCGCCTCTAAATGCTCCTCATCAGCATTGTCATCACCATCACTACCACAACCATCGTCATCATCTTCGTCATCATCATCAGCATCATCATCAGCATCATCATTGTCATCAGCAGCAGCATGAACATCAGCATCAGCATCTGCATCAGCAGCGGCATCATCAGAATCATCATCATCATCAGCATCATCACTATCACCATCACCATCACCATCACCATCACTACCACGCCGTCACCAACACCAACACCACCACCACCACAACACCACCAAATTCCAAAGCATCAGCATCCGCAGTGGCATCAGCATCAGCATCATCAGCATCATCAACATCAGCAGAAGCATCAGCGCAGATCTCAGCAAATCATCAACGGCATGTTCACCATTAACGTCACCATCACCGTCGTCATGAGCATCAGCATCAGCATCAGCATCAGCCATCAGCATCATCATCATCATCATCAGCAGCAGCATCATTATCATCAACATCATCATCAGCATCAGCCATCAGCATCATCATCATCATCATCATCAGCAGCAGCATCATTATCATCAACATCATCATCAGCATCATCATCACACATCATCATGATCATCACCACCACCACCATCATCATCATCAGCATCATCATCATCCTTATCATCACCATACTCATCACAATCATCATCATCATCATCATCATCATCATCATCATCATCATCATCATCATCATCATCATCATCATCATCATCATCATCATCATCGTTATCGTTATCGTCATCGTCATCGTAATCGTCATCAACATCAACATCAGCGTCATCATCACCACCAGCAGCAGCAGCATCACCATCATCATCATCACAAGCATCGCCAACACCATACTGCTCATCGTCTCCCTCCCCATCTTCGATGTATCCTCCTACGCAGGAAGAGAGACATGAGGACAAGGAAGCTACTCGCACTCCCTATCCCTCGCCCTCCCCCGCCGGAGCGCGGCACTAGCAGAGCTGCGTGTTGCGGTCGCACTTCTTGCGCAGGTACTCGCGCGTCGCGGCATCCAGCTGACCGTCCGCGTTCTCGTACCCAAGGTCGTCTGCCCGGGCCCGCGAGAGCGAGATGATGATGATGATGCTGATGATGATGACGATGATGCTGATGATGATGCTGATTAGTATGATTAGGATGATGATGATGATAATGCTGATGATGATGATGATGCTGCTGATGATGATGATGATGATGATGATGATGGTGATGATGATGACGATGCTGATGCTGATGATGCTGCTGCTGATGATGATGATGATAATTGTGGTATTGGTGAGGAGGAGGAGGTGGAGGAGGAGGAGCAGGAGGAGGACAAGAGTAAGGCCTGGACCCGTCAGCGATACTGCTGCCACATGCGAGCGACGATCAAGAAGGGAGTCTCGCGCACGACCTGGCGTGGCGACCCTGCCCGACGGCCGACGCGGGCCGCTGGCGCGCCACACCCACGCGGAGAAGAGGGGCGCTCCCGCCCGACACTGCGAGGGGCAGCCTGCGCGCGACTGCCCGGGCAGCCGCATCGGTAGCTCCGCGCCGATCGAGAGTTTTTGTTTCTGGCACTCGCCCACGCCAGTCAAGTCGTGTGTATGCGGTCTCCCTGCTCTTGTTCATGGCAACATCCACATAAGCACATGCACACACACACACACACACACACGCACACACACACACACACATACGCACACGCACACGCACACGCACACAAACACACACACACACACACACACACACGCACGCACGCACGCACGCACTCACGCACGCACGCACGCACGCACGCACACACACACACACACACAGAGAGAAACACACAGAAACACACACGCACGCTGCACGAGTGGCAATCTGGCGTGGGACGGGCCACCGCTGGGCGCCCCGAGCCGCCACACGAGGAGGCATCGTCAGCAAAGCGTCACTGGATAAAGGAGGGGAGAGGAGGCGAGGAGAGGGGGTGCTCTCAAGGATGTGCAGGGTTCTGTTCCTCCTCCCTCCTCTCTCCTCCTCCTCCTCCTCCTCCTCCTCCTTCTCCTCCTCCTCCTCCGCCTCCGCCTCCTCCTCCTGCCCCTCCTCCTCCCCCTCCTCCTCCCCCTCCTTCTTCTCCTCCTCCTCCTCCTCCTCCTTCTCCTTCTCATCCTCCTCCTTCCCCTCCTCCTCCTCGCCGTCAGCTCCCTCTCCGTTTCGACAAGCTCCTCTCCCCCATCCCTCTTCCGTCCTGCTCTACCTTGTCCTGCTTCTGCGCCCCCTCTCCGCCCCTGCTTATGGCCCACCCACCCCTCCCCTCCAGCTTCTTCCGCCCTCCCAGATTTACATGATCCGCGCCCTGCGGCGCCCAACGGGGGCGCTCCGAGCCTGCCCGCACCGAAGGGCACGCCAGCGCAAGCCGCGCACGAGGAGAAAACAGCCGGACAGTCGCCAAGGGGGTCTCGCGCGGGCGCGCTCGGCTCCGACCAAGCGCCTCTCTGCTGGCTCCGGTTTCCCCCGCTCTCTTCGCTCCCCCTTCTGCCTCTCCCCCTCTCCCCGCCCCCCGTCCTGATTCCCCCTCCCTGCATTGGTCACACTACAGCAGGGGCCCGACCACAAGAAACCCTCCGCAAGAAGCCCGACCCTGAGACCCCAGGACGTCCATGGATTTCTGGTATGGGAACGTCACGCTCTCCACAGCAAAGCCCTCGAAGCCCAAGAAACCCAGGGCACCCTGGAGGCAAGCAGGCAGCTTCTTGGCGAGGGCCTCTACGGGACCCCGGTGAAGGCCCGGGCCCAGCCGAGGATGCCCGTGGCAGGCGCCCTGTGCGCCCAGCGGGGCGCCGACAAGATCAGGGTGTGGCAGTATGCGGGAGGGCCCCGCCTAATGATGGGCCTGCTCTCCACCACTCCTCCTGCTCCTCGTCCTCCTCCTCCTCCCTCCTCCTCCTCCTCCTCCTCCTCCTCCTCCTCCTCCTCCTCCTCCCCTCTCCCTCCTCTTCCGATTCCTCCTACTCCTCCCCTCCTCCTCCTCCTCCATCCCCCCTCCCTCCCCCTTCATCCCTCCTCCCTCCTCCATCCGTCTCCT